CATAGTTGTTTTTTTCAAAGCTAAATGCAGGAGTTTACATGTATCCCTATTAAATCCAAGTCCTCCTATGCCATATTTTGGTGAGTGAGGTGACCCTAGGCTCTTGAAGGTTCTGTTAGGTCCTACCAAGGCAGAAAGGCTTAGGGTATAGGCCCAGGGAGGACCAACCCAGAAAACTGTCTATCAAGATGTAGAATGGTGAAGATCTGTGTTTGTAGGTGGAGGAGGGGGTAGACCCATGCTGATGTAATGATGGGTCTTTGAACTATGGAAGTGAAGCCACAAATGTCCTCTTATTAGAGTTTGATCCATGATTTCAGCCTAAAGTGATTTCCCCCCTCCCATCCTGAGCATGTCATCCTGATTTTGATCAGCTTGGCATCTATACATGGTGTAGTTTAAAGACTATTAGATTTGAAGTCAAGAAGGCCTGGATTTGAATACCTGTCCCTGCTACTTACACACACACACGTATACATATATGTATACTCTCACACACGTGTACATATATACATGTGTGTATATATGTACATATACACACACACATTTTTTTATATATGGCAATCATAGAGGGAAGGCACTGAGGCAGGAGTGGAGAAGGAATGATGAAGGGATAAGACTTATTTCACATAGCTCCAAAGGCAAGTTAGTAGAAGTTATGGGAAGGCAGGTTCCCACTTCCTAAAAATCAGAGGTATGTAACAATGACTTTCTTGTCTGGGAGGGTTCAGGGGGACTCTTCATGTCTTAGGGTCAGTCATTCCCACTGGCAGCCACTCACTTTGGGGTATCTCAAGGTCATTTCTCTAAGGCCAAGTTTTCAGCCTGGGTCACACTCTGGACATGGGAGAAGAAGAGATTTCTTTGATAGTGAAGTGGGGGTAGGTGATCCCCACCTCCATCCAAAGCTTGCTTCATTCTTGGGATTGTTATGGTTTTGAGAGGATCTTGGTCAGTATGTCTGTCATTATAGCTCCTATTTCATCTCTCTTGTTATTTTTTTATGTACTGGATTCTGTCTTTTTTGCTACTTCCCTTTCTTTGTTTCTGTCTGCAATGTCCATACCCCTTGGATTCTACCATTCCTGCCCTTCATGTTTGCCCCCAACACACAAACATACCATTTCCTTATATCTCGAGTCTTCTCCCTGTGATCTGTGCTCCTGTGCTTCTCCTTTTGTCCCATCCCTGACTCTTAGGTCTCCCTGCTCTCATCCTATCTGCCACCCAGGTGTGTATATGCTCTCTTGCTCTCTCTCTCTCTCTCTCTCTCCTTTTTTTTTAAATTATTTTATTTTTCCCCAGTTACATGTAAAAACAGTTTTTAACATTCATCTATATGGTCTCTTTTCTGCATCCTTGTTCCCTGAATTTTTGCTGTCCTTGCTCCTCAGATATGTCCCATCCCTACCTTTCTGATTTCTGCTTTCCTGTCTTACAGGCTTCTCATCCCTTCCCATTAAGTTTTCCTGCTGTCTACCCTCATCCCTTCCCCTCAGGTCTTCCAATTTTCCCTCTCAGTTCTCTCTCCCCCCTTCTGTCTTTCTGTTTCTCTCTCTCCATCTTTCTCTCTCTCTCTCCATTGCTCTACGTGTGTATGTTCTTTCCACATCCCTTTTCCTTGTTTCTGCCATCTGATTCTCAGTTCTGTACCATCCCTATATCTCAGGTCTCCCTAATCTTGCTCTATCTTTGCCCCTCAATGGGACTCTCTACTTTCTCATACTCTTACTACTCTCCCCTTCAATCCTTGCTCTCGTATTTTTCCTACTCACTTTCTCCCTTCCCTGGGGTCTTTAAGCTCTTTCTTCATCTTTGCCCCTTGGGTCTTCTTGCTTTCTTTCCATTCCTGTCCCTTGGGTCTTGCTTTCCTTCCTCTCTCCTTACTTTCTTAGTCTCTGCCATCCCTATTCCCTTAGATCTCCACCATCCCTGCCTTTCAGGTCTTCCTGCTCTTTCTATACCCCTACCCCTTGAGTTTCCTTCATCAGTACACCAGAGGAACCTCCCTAATCCCAGTCCCTGCCTCTCAAGTCATGTTATTCTCTCTCCCTTCACAGGAGGAGAAGAAGGTCCCTCCCCCGATACCAAAGAAGCCCTCTCGGGGGCCGGGGGTCCCAGTGAAGGATCGTTCCCTGGACTCTGTGGACCGGCAGCGGCAGGAAGCTCGGAAGAGGCTCCTAGCAGCCAAGCGGGCAGCCTCTTTCCGCCACAGCTCAGCCACAGAAAGTGCGGACAGCATAGAGATCTATATCCCCGAGGCCCAGACCAGACTGTGACCTGCCAGACCCTGCCCAAGGCCCTGCCCGCCTGCCACCTGCGGCCCCTTGTTTTCTATCTGTACTGTACATACACAGCGTAGAGGTCACTGTGATATCGGGGCCCCCCCAGGGCAGAGGTGGGCCCAGCCCTCTGTGTCCCCCCAGGAAGCCCCATGGCCCCTTGCCTTCCCAGACCCTGGCCTGGTCTGGCCCTATCACAGTTTCTGGGTTTGGTTTTTTTTACCTTCTGGGTCCCAAGCTAAGACTCCTTTGGGGGAGGAGGGAAGTCCTCCCCCCCAAACACACACCTCCTCACCTACAACTACCCCCTTGCTTCCTTTCCCCTCTGGGCCAGGGTCCCCTTCTCTGCTTTCTCCTCCACTGGCTGCCTCAGGCACTATCTTTGCCATCCTGTCCCCTTCCCTGCTGGGCCGGGCCGGGCCAGGCCCCCCGCCCTTCAGGCTCCATGTCCCTCCCTCCCCGCGGGGCTGGGCTTCGTGGGGACTGAGCTTTGTGGCTTTTAACACCCCCTTTTTATGAAGATTTCTGAACCTCCCCCCAGCAGAGGGGAATCCCCAAACCCAGCCATCCACCCTAATGGGCTGGGGATAGTGATCCCCACCCTCCCTTGCCAGGCCTGCTGGGGACCACAGTGGCTGGACCAACCCAGGAGATGCCATGCCCCATTCTCCACCTGCTGCAGGGAGGGGAGGGTGCTGGGAGAGGTGGGAGGCTTCCCCTCCCCCTCAACTCCCATTCCCTGGACCCACCTTGACTATACCAGGAGGAATAAAGCGGCGGTGGAAGCATCGCCCAGCACAGGAGCCATGCTCTTATGCTCTCTCTTTCAGCAGGGACCCCTTCTTGCCCTCCCTCCCTCAGTGAGGAACCTACACCCATCTCCCAAGGGCCTGGGACATCTGGGAAGAGGGCATCTGCTGTGTGTGTGTGTGTGTGTGTGTGTGTGTGTGTGTGTGTGTGTGTGTTTGTAGGGGATGTAACAAGGACTTGAGCACCAGATTTTTCTCCTGATGGGAGCCCACGTATGTCCTTTCTCCCCTTCCTCTTCCAGTCCAGTGATCTCTGAATAGGGCTATCCCTGCTCCAGAGTAAAGCCTAGATCCCTTGCTCATTCTAAGCCAGGATGGTCCCTGAGACCCCTAGTCAAGAAGTCCCTTTGCCAAAAAAATTACCCTTTCCTTCCCTTCCAAGGCCTACAGCTTCCACACTTCCACAAGGATGCTGCCTTCAGCTGTCACAGTGAGCCCAGAACCTCTCCTAAGGGGTTCACCTCCTCAGTCAGCCTGACACTCAGTCCACTTCCCTTTCTCTCTCTGCTTGAGGCTCTGGCCTTGCCAGCTTGCTGCTACCACCCAATTCTTTCTGTCAGGGAGAGTAAAACCCTTTATCTGTTCATGTCAGAGCAGGGAAAGCCAAGGACAGCTTGTGCAGTGGAGCAAGCTCTAGCTCAGGAGTCCAGAAGACCTGGATTTGAGTCTTGGCTAATATTCCCTTGCTGTGTGACCTTGGGCAAGTCTCTTATCCTCTAGGAGTCTTGCTTTCCATATCTGTACGATGAGAGGATTTGCCTGGATGTTCTCTGAGTTCCCTTCCATCTCCAACATTCATAGATTCTTTGTTAAGAAGAACCAAACCCAACAAGATCAGGAAGAAGGAGGAATTTAAAGAGAACAAGGTTTCAATTCAATACATTACTCATATTCCCTAAACCCTTTCCTGAAGCCTCCTGAGTGCACAGCCACCTTTGGGGAATGGGACTAGAAAGAGATGGAAAAAGTTTAGGTCCTTGCCCTTGGGAAACTCATGATCCATTAGAGTCTATGTAACTTAGCTAATAAGGAGACAGAGCAGGGAGATCTGAGGGGTAAAGTTGGGAGGCAGAGGCAAGAATGGGGAGAAATCTGGGTCAGTGTGTACATGTGTGTCCTTGTGACATGTAGGCAGGTTCTTGTGTTGCTGTGGGGCATTCTAAGGAGCAGCGATAGTAGAATGAGGAGAGAAACTAAAGATCTCTTAGGAAGTTGGGTTGGTGCGGCCGATCAGTGTCAACCTCTGATAGACCCTGGTTTTCAGGGGAGAGGGGGTACAGATTGGCTGCCAGCCGCAGGCTGAGTCCTGGCCCGAAGGCTGGGGTTCTCCAGGGGGTCCCCTTTGTGTCTGTGGCTCTATTCAGGTGACAGATACCCACTTCCCTGGGCCTGTTTCTTCTTATTCTGGGCTCTCCACAAGGTGGGAAGTTCCTAGGGAAGACCGACTTTCCCGGGCACATCTGGCACTTAGAGTTGTTTTTTGTGCTCAGATCTAGATTTTCCTGCCCAGGCAGTTGGTTCTGGGTTTGGAGCTTTTCTTGTGGGGCAGGGGATCCCAGAAAAACAGCCACCCCCTACCTTGCCTCAGGCAGGCTTGGACAGCTTGGCGGGTTGGCTCTGATCACCTTTGGCAACGGCTACCGTTGGTAGCCCCAGGTAACCCTGATTCAGTACGTATGGATGTCAGAGGGGACTCTATGCCCTGTTAGTAGGCAGGCCAGCAGCAAGCATTCCCCTCCCCCGGGGGGATCCCACTCAGCCCAGGGCTCTCAGGCTCAAGGTGCCCAGTTGCCTAGCTGCCTGGAAGGCTGTACCACGTGCCCACCCATTCATAAATCCCCGGGGCTCCGAAGGCACCCTCCACGCCACACCGTCAGGTGGCGCTGTCGCCTTCCTTCAGGGCGGCGCTGGCAGTCCCGGCGCAGGCGCAGGCGCAGGCGCAGGCGCCCTGCTCTCTTTCTCTCTCCCCGCAGCTTCCCTGAAACCGACCAATCCGTTCTCGAAGCGGGTAGGTCCGGCCCCGCGGGCCTCTGGGAGCGGAGTGGGGGTGGGGAAACCTGCGCAAGGCCTGCTGGCGGGTGGAGGGGGTGCGGAGCGGGGCTCGGAGTGGGGCCTAGAGGCACAGGTGAGCGTGGGGCTTCCCGGGGAGCGGGGAGTGTGTACGTGTGTCGGGGAATGAGGGAGCCCCGGCTCCAGTGGCAGCCGCACCGCCTCTCCTCCTCCCGACCGCGCTTCATGACCTTTGCCTCTTTGCCCGGCAAACCATGGGGGGTTGCGGGGAGTGTTGTAAGTTTGTGTGATAGGGAAATGAGGGAGCCCCGGCCTCAGCCCCTGCTGCGCTGTACCTCCCCTCCCCCCCTACTCTGTCACCTTTGCTCGACCCGCCCCCGGTTACCATGGCAAACTCCGGGGGCGGGGCAAAGCTTGGAAGCTCCTCCAGCAGCAGCACGCCTCAGTTTATCCCGGTGTTGCTCGTGCCAGCTCCGAGACCCGGAGAGTTCAAGGTCCCGACCCCTGGTGACGCCCAGAGGCCACGCCTTCTAAGGGGCCCTAGGAGTGATTGGGGATGTGGGTCCTGGAGAAGAGAAGGCCGGGGACCTGGGCTGCCCTTGTCACTCTGAGGTGGGGCCAAAGCACCCCCTCAGCACAGCCCCTGGAGCCACACAGTAGGCGCTTAATAGATGCTTATTGACCAAGACTAGAGTCAGGAGCAGTGGGAAGTGCGGGGCGGGGGCCGGGGTGGGGGGAAGAATTGGCAAAGGGGCCTATTTAAGCCAGAAGTCTGGAGGATCGTCCTTAACTATTTTGAGGAGAGAGAGAGAGAGCTCTGCCCAAGTGGAATGGGATGCCTGGTGTAGTGGTGAGCTCCCCATGGTTGGAAATATTCAACTGGAGATTGGACGACCCCTTGTTAGGGACGTTTATAGAAGAGATTCCTTCTCTGGGTAGGATTGGACTAGATCAGGGGTGGGGAATTTGTGGCCTCGAGGCCTCGGGTTCCCCACCTCTGGACTAGATGACTCATGTGACCGCTTCCAGCTCAGATCCTGAGTCTTGGACCTTAGGGGAGGGGAGGGGCCACTTAGACCAGCCTTTCTGCTGGTGATACTCCCCTTCCTCCCTGCAGAGTAACCCTGGGCTTGGTGCAGCCCAGCCAGCTTTGTGTTGGTGTCCATAGGTTTTTTTTTTTTAGGCAGTTGGGGTTAAGTGACTTACCCAAGGTCACACAGCTAGTAAGTGATAAGTGCTTGGTCTGTGGCAGGATTTGAGCTCAGGTCCTCCTGACTTCAGGGCCAGTTCTATATCCACTGTGCCACCTCGCTGCCCCTGTCCTTAGGTTTTGACATTACCTGGGGCTAGGGGCAGGCGGTGGCCATAAATGCTTACTGTCACGGGGTGAGAGGAGACATCAGACAGCCTCCTGGCCTCCGCTTTTTCTGTTCTACTGGGCCTTCTTCATTTACTTTCCTTTAGGACACTCGGTAAACCTTGACCTTTTTGGGCACAGGGATGTGTGTGGCACATAGTAGGCACCATATAAATGCTTCTTCCTTTCCCATAGAAGGAGGGAAGGAAGTCAGGAGGAAGGTGCTGCCTTCTGCTTGTGTGGATCCAGACCATTGTTGGATCCAGATGCTTTGAAAGCATTTAACACTCTCTCCATGTTTTGAGATTTTACTTGTCCTCCTTTCAGGTCATTTGTAGAAATACTAAGAGGTGCCTGGGCAACCCCATCAGCTATACTTCTTCACCTAGAAAAAGACCTGCTAGTTCTTAATCCTTGACAAAATATTGTTCCCCAGTCCTATGGTCATTCTTGTGGTCATATGCTATGTATGGCTAAGAGTAAGAAGGGAGAGAGTAGTGCTAGAATCCAGCACCAAGTCAACTTAATTCAGCAAGCATTGATTAAACACCTACTATGTACCAGGCCTTTTGCTGGGTGCTGTGAATACAAAGGAAAAAAATGGAAATGTTTTCTGCTTTCAAAGTGCTTAAGGTGGGAACACTGGCAGAAAAAGCACAGATATTCTATAACAGATCTCAAGTCAAGGAGGCAGTCAGTCAGCAAGCATTTATTAGGCACTTACTGTGTGTCAGGTACTATTCGAGTGCTAGAAATACAAAGAAAGACAAAAGCAGGGTAGATCCTGAGGTCAAGGATTTGGTGTCTTAACCCAGGGTTAGAAATCAGAGAAATGTGGGAAATAGTTAAAGGAGAAAACCTGGAAGCCAAAGGTAGGAATCCTTTGAGTTGTTTCTAAGAGTTCATGAAGCTGCCTCAGCATGTTCTGTCCTTAGGGCAGGATCCTTTACAGAAAGTGATCGGGGTAAATTATAGGAAAATCTCTCAGGGCTGTGAGAAGTGGTGACTAAGCTTTGTGGGGTTGGGAGGAGAGAACCTCAAACCCTACTGCTGTTTGTTATGCTCTAGAAAGGGAATTTTCAAGTCATCATTGATTTTTCCTCAGTGACTACAGTCCAGTGGAGTCAGGAAGGCTAGCAAAATGCTGTGCATCCCCAGGAAAAGGTTTTTAAACAAAATAACATTATCTTGTGTTAGAGATTGAATTTTATGTTAATATTGGGCACAAGTCTTGGTTGCTGTACCTGAATCAAAGCTTTGACATGGTTTGAAAAAGATCCGGGAAAAGCAGCTAAAATGATTATGGGAGTAGAAGAGCATCTGTAGGGGATAAATGAAAGGCCTTAAAAGAGGAAGACTGAGAAAGGGATGTGACTGAAGGTTATTCAGTCATGAAGAGAATGCATGGGATAAAACTGGGAATTGTTCCCCAAGTTCAGGAAAGTAGAACTAGGGAGCATTGGGTTAGGCAGATTGTAGGGCAGAAGGTGCTGGATTCTAGCACTACTACAGGATAGTAAACCTCGAGGTGTCTTTACCTTAGCAATTGATATAGACCAAAAAATGTGGGTTTAGAAAGAATTTAGGCAAATGTATGGTGGCCCCATAATTAACTTTGAGGTTATTTGGAAACTGCCTTTGGCTTTTTGAGATAATTGTAATGGTGAACAAATCAACTCATGGCCTTCCTATCAGAAAACAAGCAGTGGACTGGATGGATTAATGGTATGACCTATTTTGGTATTTCTTGTTCCCTTAGATTACTTAGGGGTTGGTCTTTTTCTTTAGGAGAGCCTGAGACTTCCTTTTCCTAGTCCTTCTAGCACTAATTAAGACAATAAGCCTCAAGCCCTTTGGTGTCCAGTAAGTGATAGTGGATAGTGATTGCTTAAATGGGATGTAGAATCTGAGTATGATTTTGTTCTGCTTTTTAAAAATTCAGCAGAATCTAACTATTTACAATGGTTGAGTGATGGGTTAGGGTCCTGGCCAGTTGTACCTTCTGGTTAATGGGAAGTGGTCATATATACAAGGGCTGTATTTCAGAGTAGCTACTCTTTGTTCCCTATAGTTTTGAACTTCACAGGGGAGGGAGTAGTGAGGTTGGTGTATTGACTGAGAAGTCCTTTGGGGGAGAAGGGGAAAGAGGGATGGTGAAATGCCTAAGAGCAGTTGAGGGACCCTAACCCTGCTCCACTCAGGCCTTATTTGTTAGTGTCATGAAGGTAGGAATTGGGATCAGGTTGAGTCTTCTACCAACCACATGATATGATATACCCTGGAAATTGAATTTTTGGAATAAACCGTAGCTGTTTAACTATTTTTACCTTAAAAATATAGTATAAAAGGTTAACACAAGTTCTGACGATTTGAATTTTTCTGGTAAATGGGAATTTATTTGTTGAGCACCTGGAAAATGTGAAATTAGAAGACAGCTAAATTAGGGGGTGTGGTTTTCTTTCTAAAATAATTCCCTTAGTGAGCCCTCCCAGTGATTGGGAGGGAGCTCTAACATTAATAGTTATCAGAAGTGACATGTAGCCCTTTAAGGTTTACAGTTATGATTTCACCTTCAGCAGAGGACGGTTTATCCCTAATGTTGTCTCATACCATCTTGCAGATGCCATGTGGCCTTTGTTTTGGACAGCGATTCGTACCTACGCCCCCTATGTCACCTTCCCTGTGGCCTTTGTGGTGGGGGCTGTGGGCTACCACCTGGAGTGGTTCATCAGGGGGAAGTCACCCCAGCCTGTAGAGGAGGAGAAGAGCATCTCAGAGCGTCGGGAAGACCGAAAGTTGGAAGAGCTGTTAGGCAAGGACCTCACGCAGGTGGTGAGCCTTAAGGACAAGCTTGAATTTGCTCCCAAAGCTGTATTGAACAGAAATCGTCCTGAAAAGAGTTAATGGAGGGCCCTGGGCTCCATGGTCCCTTCCAAGGCTGTGGATAAGTGGCAGTCCATGGCCACCATCTCTGTCCCACCCCTTCCTAGAACCTACATTTGGTTTACTTTGCTTCTTGTTCTGGCGCTTTCTCCACCTCCTCTCCCTTCTCCTCCCCAGCTTCCAGTCTTTCTCCCCTTGATCACCTGGTTGGTTCCATCAATATCCATAGGCACTTTGCTGCTACCACCCGATGATTAAGCTGCTGTCCAGCCTGTGGAGAGACACTATCAAAGAAAACTCATGTTCGTGGCAAGGGAGGATGCCCTTTGTCTCGTGGTGGCTACAACTGCTTAGGTTTCCTGAGCTTGGAACCCTGCTGATGGGGGAGCCAGCTTACAAGGGAACTATTCACCATGCCCCCAGTATGAGGTTGGCGGTGGCCCCATGACTGTCTTTTGATGACTAGTGAAACACCAGCTATCAGTCTCTGGGGGGAGTGTTGAGTTTGACTTTATGTGAGCACAGCCAGAACTTGGGATCAGCCTTTGTCTTCCTCCAGAGGTTGTCTAGGCCTGTGGGATGTTGCTGGTATTCCTGGGCCCAGAATGCAATTGGGGTGAATTTTAAAGCCAGTCTGTCTTTTTCTCCCATCCCATCCCATTTCCCTGTTCTTATTCTTCCTAGAAGCTCTCCCTTTGCACTCTGGAAGGGGATTGGATTCCCATGGGAAGGAGAGCTGTTGGCTGTTAGAGGGAGGCCAGGCTGTTCCCGCTGGGAGGAGGGGGATCATCTATCTGCTGAATTTGCTCGAAAACACCCCCTTTCCTGTAGAGTGCAAACCCAATTAAACTGGAGTCTGAGAACCGTGCTGCCTCTATCTCCCTGCTGGTGTGGTGGTGGGGGATTCGCGGGGTAGAAGCCCGTCAGTGACTGACCCATTGCTTCACTTGCTCAGTTGCTAGATGAGCAATAGCTGTTTTCCCAGGGATCTTTTAGCAGGTTTCTGGGGGTAGATTTTCCCAAACTCCTTTGACCACACTATTGTTTGTTGCTTGTGATCAGTTCTAGTCATCACATAGTCCTGGAGGGATCAAAAGGGGTCAGGGAGGTTTGGGGAAAATGGAGGAAATTGTTTGTCATGCTGAAAAGTTGCTGCACTTGATAGCAGACTTGATAAGCTAAACACTATTCTGGGTAATATTAGCCTTTCAGTCAGCACCATCCCAGAGTCATCTGGGAGGAGGGGGCCCTTAACAAGCGATGCCACCTTTTATACATCGGGCAAGAATTTGGAGAGGCAGACAGGGATGGGGTCGAAATCTAAGGGGAAGGCCGCCATGTTCCTCATGGCCGTCAAAAGGATGCCTCCTATCCCTCAGTTAGCATCTGTCCTAGAGATTTGGGCTTTGGGAGGGAAGATGCTGTTCCCGTTTGGGTGAAAGCTTGAAATGGCTAAGGCTGTATTTGGGAATGAGGCAGAGGCTGAGAGGGCACAAGGCAGGCCGCCATTCAGATGGCAGGCATTTATTAAGCATTCACCCTGTGCCAGGCTCTATTTAAGTACTGGCAGTCTGAAAAGCGTGCCTACCCCCAGGAGCTCACCTTCTCTTGGGGCAGCCAGCATGCAGACAACTGTTCCAATAGGATGTAGACTGGATGGGTTGGACATAGTCTCAGGCCAGACTCATTGAAGCCCTTGCATCATCATTTTGGGAAGTTACTGCTCTTGTTCCTCGGGGCATCTTGGTCCTGGGAGAGCCTTCCACCTCATTACATCTGTGGTTCGGGGCTCATAAAGCAGGGTTGGAAGAGTCTGTAGGGAATCTGCCAAGAGCTGAAGAGGCTTTTTTAGGCCCTGTAGGCTGGGGAATAGTCTTGGGGTCAGAGGGAAGATTTATTTTGTACCAGTCCTCCACATCCCGCCCCCCTTGCCCCTTGCTGTTTGTTGTAGTGGGTCGGTGCTGCCCCCTCCTGGTGGTAGTGAGCACGAGGAAGCTTACTGTTCATTTGTTTAAATTGATCCTCCCTGAGGCACATAGGATCGTAGATCATATCAGGATCGCCTCTTAGAGGAAAACTGAGACCCAGAGGCATGTCCAGGTTCACATAGGTGAACATAGTAGCTGAGCTGAGCTTTGAAACCAAGTCCTCTGACTCATAATCCAGTGCTCTTTTAATAGCCCCATGATGCCTCACCAGGCAGCAGCGCTAGATGAGGAGTAAACTATTTGAGGGCCATGTGCTATATGGCCTGTTCAGGGTTAGGGGCAGGACCTGTGGTTTCATTGATATGGGGGACTCCCGAACAAGGCAGGCTCTCACCTTCTTTGCAGTTTGTGCCTAGGTTGGTGTTGAATGTGCTGCATGGGGTCCACTATACTCCCAAGTGCCTACCAAACCAAATGAAAATGTAAATGGGAAATATTTAACTAAACAAATACAATAAAACATACATAATGTCAATATGTGGTTTTCTCAGTCAATACTCGGCCGCAGGGGCTGAAAGGATCCTTCTGTAGGATTGAGTGGCCACTGTTTCCCTGTGAGTTTGATCCCACTGGCCTAGAGCACTGAGGGGTTGAGTCACTTGCCTGAGGTCACACAGCCATCCCTGTCAGAGGTGGGTTCTGAGGTCAGCTCTCTGAAGGAAGCCATAATTACTAGGGCTCTAGCTGGCACATTTTGGATTAGTTGAGATGATTTCGTTGCCTCGGAGTCTACTTATGGCTGTAGGAGATGTCATCTGAATACCAGCTTAAGTGAAGCACCGTTGGAGGGGGAGAGAACCTGCAAAAACACCAGGCAATGGGGGACACTGACTGACGACCTAGGATTGAATCATTGGATTAACTGCCGACTGCAGCTCTTGTGGAAAGGTGACTCTGGGTCAAGCTGACTTTGGGGACTGGCATCTCCCCTTCTCTCTTCTCAGATTCTTTCTGATGGTTTTGAAATCATATTTCCTAGAAGCTGCTGCTGTCTTAACAGCAGGCCAGCGGTCCCTGATCAATAGCTCATAGTATCACTTTGACTAAGTTGCTTAAACCTCTCAGAGCCTCAGTTTCCCTTATCTGTAAAACAATGATGCTTGTATTGGGTGAACTTCGGTGCCGTGGTTAGAGAGCTGGCCTTGGAGACAGGGAGACTGGGATTGGAGTCCCACCTCTAAAGCTTGTTGTTTGTGTGCCCCTAGGCAGATCACTTCACCTTTCTGTGTGTAGGTGGCAGCCTTCACTAGGAGAGGGAGTTTCCTCACCTGGGACTTCCCTATACCAGTGAAAGTATAGGTCTGGTCTCTATCCTCTTGTAACTAAAGCGCACATTAATCAAGCTATTCCCTCAAAACGATTCTGAAGGGTTGTGCAAGGATGATGGAAAGTCTGCAGTCTGCAGGTGAAGAAAACAGGCTCCCAGATGGGAAGCCTCTTGCCCAAGATTATACATTTAATTAGTGGCAAAAGCAGGATTCAAACTTAGGACCTATTACTCAAGTCTTATGTTCTTTCCACTCTTAACAGTGGCTACATGAAGCCCAGAGAGACAGCAAAAAACTAAATTGTCATAAATCTCTCCGGCACTAATAACATTGTTTGCTAAGGGGATCCCAGGCTGCTGTCATATCCTTGACTTAAGCTGGGCCTGCCTCAGTTTGGTCACTTTCCAAAAGTTCTGATGCATTTCTGTGAGAAGCTGGGTGAGAGAACCGAGTGGTCACAGGATCATAAATCTAGAACCAGAAGGCATTTAGTAGATGCCATCTACCCAAAACCCTTCATTTTACAGATGAGGAAATTGAGGCCCAGAGTGCTTCAGTGGCTTGGCCAGTTGCCCAGGGAGATCTGAACTCTCATCCCCTGACTACAAATTCATTGTCTTTTCCACCGTGCCAAGTATATATGAGCATGAGTTAGGATTTGAATATGCTTTCTCTTGCCTGTTAATTTCCTCAAGGTGCCCTTGTTCCTTTTCTCACCAGTCTGGTTATAATTCACTGAAAACACATCAGGGTTGGTTTGTTGGTATTTTTTTTTCCCTCCTCCTCCCATTCTCCCTCTGACTGTGCTTTAGTCACTCAGCTGGTGCTGCAGACGGGGTTATCCTGTTAAAGCGTGCAGGAATCACTTCTCCACACTCTCAGCGACTTTGTGTCTGGTGCTTTTCCACTGTCTCTGGTCCCTTTCCTGTGCCTACTGCTGTGTTAGCAAGAGTGTGTGTGAACTGGGCATTGGCCAGCCTAGACCTGCCCTGGAGACTGGAGGCCCTCTGTAGGCTGTGGGACCCACTGGCCTTTGGGGGTGGCCTCTTTTGGACTGAGTTCTGGGTTCTGCCTTGGCTCCCTGGGCAGAGGAATATTGACAGTTGGGCTTCTGAAAGAAAAGCCTCTCCCTTTGCTTTTCTGCAAACTTAAGAGTCAGAAGACTGGATTTCAATTCTGGCTCTTCTGGGCTTCTGACATCTTAGAGTCTTCTGCTGTGAAATGGGGTTGGCCTGGATAACTTATAGTATTATTCACAAAATCTAAGAGCCTTTTGGTCCAGTATATACCTGAACAAGAATCCTCTCTACCATGCACTTGAACAAATGTTTAAGTAGCATTTATTTGCATGATGACTTCCAAAGAACCCGTGATCTCCCTTTCAGCATCAGATTCTTCCTGGTCTGAAGTCTGATTGATGCTTTTTCCTGGTGTGGAGGTAATCTCAGGATCTTGTAACTCCATTCAAACCAATCCAGCCTGACAAATATTTGTGATTCTTCCTATGTGCCAGAGATTCAGCAGCTAGGTAGCACTGTGCATAAGTGTTGGACTTAGTTAATCAGTAAATATTTTAAAGTGCCTACTGGGTGGCAGGCATTATGCTAAGTGCTGGGGATACAAAAAGTGGCAGAAAATAGTCCTGAGTTCAAATTATGCCTCAGATACTTAGGTCTGTGACTCTAAACAGGCCATTCAGCTTCTCAACCTTGGTTTCTTCATCTTATGGGGATAATAATAGCAGGGATTTCATAGGGTTGTTGTGAGAATCGAATAAGATAAATGCAAAGTGGTTTGCAAACCTTAATGTACTATGTAAATGTTGGTTCTTATAATTATTGTGCTGCATGCTAGGGATACAGAGGTAAAATTGAAGATCCTTGCCTTCAAAGAGATTGCGTTTGCTTGTGTCAAATGAAGTAATGGATGTGAAAGCACTTTGAAAAGTGATACTAATGTGTGGTATTCTTTTTTTAAAATAACTTTTATGGATATTTTCTGTTTCTCACATAACCATAGTATCTAATGTACCTTCCCCTCACCTTGCTGGAGAGCCATCCCATATGAAAAATCGTATTTTTTTTATAGAGGGGAAAAAGAAAAGATAACACAACTGATGGATACATTCAGAAAGTCCGAAAACACGTGCAACATAGCGTAAATGGGTGTTATTCTTAACTAGTCTTATGGAAGACGAGTAAGAGTTGAGAAACTTTCTGGAGTAGTATTCTCTAAGTCTGGTGAACAGGAGAGTAGGAAAAAGAATGGGAAAGAGTAGGAGGGGGTAGCCCTCGGGAATGCAGGTGAGGCCGGGGCTCAGCGTTTCCAGGTACAGTGTTTGTGGCTGAAGACTTCTGGAGAACATTGGGAGAACTGAATACCATATTGTTGTACAAAAACCTTCTCTTTGCTCCAGACCCTCAACCAGCTGGGGGGACTGGTAGGGTACGTTCCTGCAAATACAATGGGTTGTGATCTGAAGGTGCAGCCTAAGAGGTTGGGGAA